ATGCAATAAAAGAAAGGGAGTTCCACTTAAGAAAACGTCGATCACATTGATTTCACCTTGAAAAGGTCACTCAAGGTCAAATCCATATTTTTATCATGTGGCCCCCTCCGAACCCTACAACTTTTGTTTGAAATATTTTTTTCGATGAAGCTTACTTTCCGAGATATTTTACAGTTTCAAGTTAAAAAAAATCATCCTGTATATGTATTCATGAAAATTTGAGTGTAAGAATTGTTTGGTTAATAGATGCGTAATTAAATTTATGTGTATATATTTATTTACAGATGATTACTCAAGCGCGAAAGACATTCTACAAATTATTCAAGTAGCATCTGATCAAGAATTATCTGAATTAGATGAAACTAAGTTGAAAAAATCAAGATCAAAGCGTCACAAGAAAAAATATCAATCTACAGATGATGCCTCCACTTCAAATGACGAAAATGACAACGGTGCTAAAACTAGGAAAAAAGTCAAAAAAGTCTCTCATGATAAATTGCCATTAAAACCAGCAAACTTTCAGTCTCTTTTGAAATGTACTAAAACTACAAATAAATCTCCAGGTGAGATAATTTCATAAAAATTTTATCATAACGCATTCAATAATTTTAAAATAAACACTTTAAAGTTTTTCGCTTTAGTATTGGTTGCTTTAATTGGATAAAACGAAATATTTGTGATAAATTAAAAAATTTTTTACGTTACAATTTCTTACTAATATTAAGGATTACAAATTTCAACATTTAAATATATTAAAATGCCTTAAGTTTCTTTTTTTGTATTGCATTCATCATATATTGCTTTTACAGATGCTACAAAAACTCGGATAAATGTCGAAAAGGAAACAGTAGCTGATGATAGTCAATTTAGTAGAAGTTCTTCATTAACGTTACTTGCAAACTACGATAACAATGATAATCAAAGCAGTTCAACAGTACATGAAAAGAGTCTATTGAAACCAGTTGTAGATTTAACTAGTATTTCTAAGATTGAACAAATACTTTCAAGTCTTGTAGGTAAATATTATGTACAGTGTGTTATTGCATCAATTCTAAAAATTTTTTTGATTAGTTGATTTTGTAATTATTTGATGTAATTTTTTTTTTATTTCAGAATTTAGCAAGGATATAATTGGCAAAATAAACAAACTCACAAGTTCAATTGAAGACTTGAATAAAAGAATACAGATAGTTGAAAATATCTTAAATACAGGAAGAGATAAACTAATAAATGAAAATTCGATAACTGACGAAATTGAAGATTTTATCCCATTGCAAACGGTTGACAAATTTAATGAGTTTGACAATAAATTAAATAATCAAAAATATGTTCGACAAGTGGTAAGTACACAATTGTATTCTAATTTTTTCCGATGTAACGACCATGTCGTCACTATAAATAATATTGTAAATATGTTAATAATATAAATAGTTATAACCTCGCTTGCCTCACTGTCTCTTCCTGCTACACCTATCCAGCTTGCGCATGTGCTACTCGGACTATCTCGCTTGCACGTACGCAACACGTGCTATCTCGCTTGTACGTACGCCACACGTGCTATCTCGCTC